ATAATATGGTGGCAGTGAAAGGAACAACTAATTGGAGAGAGAGAGACGTGTGAGCTGCGGGCAGAGGGAACCTTCCAAATGAGCTCACTACCCTGGGGAAATGGATAGATGCATCAGGCTAACAGACTAGAACAACAGATGACAGAACAGTGAGAAGAGTTGCAGGCACCTTATTAGACTTCCAGCAAATAATTTGACTGTGCATACAGCGTGCAGCACATCTCATCTAATAGTTGTCTATGGAAACATAGCTGCAACTCTTTCCAGGCATTGCTAATAAGTCTTGGCTATGTTGACTGTAGTACACACACAGGCAGGGTGGTAAATCTACATGTGGGAATGTTTGTTACTAAAGGCTGGAATATACTGCATGACTTTTGGCCAGATTTTTGCCCCGATTTACAGACTGGAAGAGTTGACAGACCTCACAGAAAATCAAATTGTGTATAATCAAGTTATGCATAGATTCCTTTTTTTTAGATTCATACTATGATTTCATCCAGTTAGAAGAGATCAAACATGTTGCTGATGAGCATGAGCTGATTTATTGTTTTTTTTTTGTCATGCGTTTTCTAGCAATAAGGCACATGTTCCTGTGTGAGTTTGTTGTGTTCAGAACGACTTGAAAGTACGAAAGTGTGTGATCTTCAGTCATTTATTTTTTGATGCATTAAACTGTACCTCTCGTTGGTTTTATATGAATTAATTAAACAGAAAATATTTGTTTTCGATGGTTTCATTTAGAAGTAGACATTTCAAGCTTTCAATAGGCTTATTTCTCATGTCCGTGAGGCAAGTATTCACTGAGTTTTGGTTCATTTTTGAGGCTCGTTTCAGAAAGAAGTTCACGGAGACCGAGATGGCAGAAAGCACACCAAAAGCGATTTGTAACGTTTTGTTGTATGAAGTATGAAGAAATGTTATTGTGACTAATTTGCAGAGAGGTACATCAGATGAACTCTTCTTCTGTGTGATGGGACAGGCAGTAGAAACATGATGAGTTGAAAAGGAGCGCTTCAGGGCTACCCATGCATGTGAAACAAATATTAAAGCATAATATGGAGACAGATCAGCCTCAAAAATAACACATTTGCAAAACAAAATTCATAAATGCACAGCACAATTTACATTTACAAAATCCGATTCGTAAATTCAAAACACAATTCATAAATACACAAGTAAAAGCATAAATATTTCCCCAAATGCTCACACAAATGCATCTTACCTAAATAAATTTAAAATGTTTACACAAATATGTATATACAAATTTGAATTGTGTTTTGAATTTACGAATCGGATTTTGTAAATGTAAATTGTGCTGTGCATTTATGAATTTTGTTTTGCAAATGTGTTATTTTTGAGGCTGATCTGTCTCCATACATAATATCATTTTTTACCCATGATCAAAAAATACAAAAAATCTAGCTTAAGTTTCATTTTTCCGTTTCTCAAACAAAACTAAGAAAACAAAAATCAGACTGTTTCTCATTTCTCTTTATTTAGTAGAAAACAAAATGAGCAAAAGGTACATGGACCGTACACGGACCGTGGAGGCAAGTTACTGTCTTGATGAGTGAGTCATTCAGTCAGTCATTCAACAGATTCGTTCAAACTGCTGATTCATTCAGAAACTAAGCAAGTGACTGGCTTTATGAATGGGTCATTGAATTATTGGCTCACACGATTCATTCAAAAACATAATTTCAATCAGTAACAAAACACCACTGTTGCTTGGAGAGAAAAAAACAAAACAAAAACTAAACGTCAATCTTGCTCTTGTGGTATTGCTAATCTATGATTCATATGATATAATTATAAGACAAAAACCCATACAGGGGCAATTTTGCCCTCATATCTTGAATTTTTGGAGCATATAACTGCATTCTAATAGGCTATATCACTCTGTCAGTCGTCCTGCATCATATTTTTCAGCAACTGTATGAAATATAGAGATGCATTACAGGTCTGGGAAGGGAGGGGTGAATTTAATACATGAATCGTTTAAATGCATTTTCTAAATTAGGTGCAATTTTATTAATTGCACCAAATTAATTGCAGTGGCAACTGTTAAATTGACAGCCCTACTTAAAATATTTTGGCATAATTGAGATTGCATGGAAAACAGCAGCTTGGTCTTTTTTGCTAAACTTCTCCTTTTGTGTTCAATGGAAGAAGTCATGAGTTTCAGACAAAAGGGTGTAAAACATATAAATAATAATAATATGAAAAAAAATATATATTTTTAGCTGAATTATTACAAAATAACCCAGAAACTTCAATCCAAATAACCTATTATGCAGCATGAATCTACTTGGTAAATCTTCAACGAACCAAATAATGAACTCAAGAACCGTAAATGCCAAAAAAGATGATTATTTTTCAAATCTAAGGTGCTAGAAAGAACCTTTAAAGAACACTTATTTCTAAGAGTTCAAGAAAAGCAGATAATCTCACAGCTGACAGTGAAGAAATGGATCTGGCAAGGACCACCATCATTACTAGAGAAGATCAAATCAGAATCCACTCCTCTAGAAGGTCATCAGTAGGTGTGTTGTATAACACACTCAATAGTTTGTAGTTCAGCTTCAGAGGATGGGTGGGCAGGAGGCTCATTCAGGGCACACATCTTTAACAGCCCTGAGCTGACCTGGAGCTAACAGACTCCTCTGTGGTGACAGACTTGCACAAGGAGACCTGCAGCTAAGGGTAATTACCACTCTTCCCCACTGTGAGTGAAAGGTTACTCATCCCGAACACATGCATCAGGGTTTTTTCTCTGGGCGAGTACCGTGTGACATTTACTGGCAGAACACAAACAAGCAGAGCCGGCAACTTCAATCCTCTCTGACTAAGAACAACCACCATCTCAGTCTGTTTCGGGGAACCAGTTTCCCTTTCTACCCCAAAACCTCGGCAGAACATAAATATAAAGCTCCCCTCCCATGCGGTTGTGATTAGATATGGATTTTCTGTAAGGGGACATTCTGTCACAAATAAAAACACAAAATGCCGAATTCATTAAACTTCTGTGCAAAACCTTGACCAAAACAGATATCCTAATTCACACACCACAGTCCATCATCAGCCAGGTACAATACATTAAACTTTTATTTCGTCACAAAATGTACTTAGACCTATCACCCAGTTCTGTATATAAAGTTGGATATATAAGTAGGTCCAACTTTATCCACATACAGTACATACAGTACACTTACATAAGGCGATATATGGCAAATCTCACCTGCTTGACTGCTTGCATTGTTGCAAAATCTAAACAATACTCTCGTCAACTCTAATCTGCTAAATGCAACTGTAAGGCATGAAGATATTAAGATATTATAAACGTTAACATCATGGTTTTTTCTAAAGCTGCTTTGAAACCATGTGAATTGTGAAAAGTGATATACAAATAAATTTGACTTGATGATGCGGGCTGATACGGGCTGCAGAAATCATTTTTAAATTAAGTCTGAGCAAAATACTTATGTAAATATTTTTTACATATTTCTATGTAAATGAAGGATAATATAAAATGCACCAGATTCCTAAGCATGCCTTGCGCAATTAACATTGCATTATTTCAGTTTAATTAGTAAACAGATTTTTATTTAAAGGTGCATTCAGTAACAGGGTGAACATACTTTCTCTTTTTCCTGGACATGTCTCGGCCAGGTTTTCTAAATTGCCTAAAATGTCCAGGCTTTGTTTTCCTATTGTTTTCTTCATTGCTGAAGGTAATGGCTTAAAAGTAGTTTTGTACATAATCGACCAATCATGGCATGTAAGAAGGTGGGATCTACAGAGAACGGTCAAAGCGATACAAATACGTGTATACTGTATATCATTTATGAAGACTGTAAAGAGCACGTCAATAGCAAAACAAAACCAAAACCCATACATTTTAAGCAATTTAGAAATCCCAGTCTGGACTCATTCATTTCAGTAGTACCAGTTCATTTCAGTCATATCAATTTGGACTCTATACTGACACCTATTGGCCTGGATGTATGAAACTTGTTCAATAACTACTGTTGTTTCACAACTGTCCGCTTTGTTCTTTCGCGACTATGTCTTATGGGACATACGTCCATAATGTACAATTTTGGATTCAACCACATCTTTTTCCGTGGTTCATGCTGGTGACCGTTTGTGCTTGGCACTTGAAGTTGCAGCTTATATTCTCAGTCTGTGGTGTGAAAGCTGTGTGGGTCATTGCAGTTTGTTTCATCACTCCAGCAGAGATTGCTTGTTCGGACATATATTTTTCCACTCATTCTTATTAAGTTTGGACCGGTGGATCGCACACATGCTGATGCATGCTATCAGTCCCACTACGTTTGGCATTTAAAGAATCAATTCAGGTGTCTGGAGTTTGCTGCATCTTTCACAGCCTGCTTGAATGCTGAGAAACACTAATGTTGTAGGTCTGTGCCTGTATCTGATTTACATAATTACTTTAGTGAATTGGGTGCTAAAACAATGTAGAAAACGCATACAAGTAAACAATGCTATCAGCAGGCGCAATTCATTCTTATTGTCTAAACCTTGGGGTAATTCTTCATGAGAAACATCCCAAAGGTGAACTGAGAGTTAGTGTGCAGCTGTAATCTATCAAGACAAGGTGAAATGTGCTGCGTCTTGGAGAAGCCAGAGAAACCATTTGCATTCTTTTATACGCTTCAAAGTCACTGGGGTCTTATGTGTGCAGTGGATTGATATTCATTCAACATGGGAACCATGTGGTTTCAAAAACTCACCAGGAATGAATTTCAGAACAGAAATCTCATTCCAGTGGTTTAGTCTCAAGAGATGGTCTCAAAAAACTGTTTACAATCAATCCAAGGTTTTATTTGGTTTGCACTTAAGTAACTTCTTTTAAAGTAATAAGTACTCTTTTTAAAACTATACTAAAGTGTACTTCTTTTTTACAAGTATTGCAAATGGCCAATTATTTTTGTTAGTTAATATCACTGTTTAGTAGTAGTTTGATGAACTCTTACCGGAGAATCTTCTACGCTGAAGTTAAACATGTCCATGGCATCTGTCTTCAGTTTGGACACAAAGTCCTTGTACTCGGGGTTCTGAGGCTCTCTGTAGGTCAGGATCTTCACGCTCTGCGAGGATTCAACACAAAGGCAAATTTTGTGTTGTTCAATGTACAAGATAAAAAAGTGTTCATTTACTCACACTGGTTATTGATACACATTGATTGATACACATGTATGTATCACAGCCAAACAGAATCTTTTTCAGCTAATCCAATCAACAAATCAGCTCAAGGATGCACTCTTTCACAGTCACCTCCTCTGAGAAAATGTTTTTATGTGATCTGTTGATGTCCAATTTCACAATACTTCCAACTGCGTTGAGCCAAAATTGAAACTCCAACAATTTTCTTTTGCATCTGTGCCACAAACTGCCAAATTATGACAATCTGAGTGAAAAGGCTGTTGTCTAAAAATGGGGATTTATGTATTCTAAAATCTTCAAACTCACTTTGTGTCTGTCCTCTGAGGACTCTCAGATTTGTGTATAACAGATCATGATTCATGTGAAGTGGACAGGGATAATGGGAACTGAAGCTGATGATAACAGAATGTCTCTGAAAGACAGAGTTTCTCTTGGATTTTCAACAGCACAGAAGGACAAAACAGACAAACAAAACAATACTAGAAAATATTACAGTGATGTAAATATGATTCATTTTCAGCAAGAGCTTTTAAAAAGATTTCCCTGCCTTATGAAAAATTTGATGTTGAAGCAATTTTCTCTCAGAAATTGCTAATAACACTAGCAACATGAAATTTTGAAATAGAAGAATTTAAATATTATTTTCTTCTTTTCGTTTTCTCATTTTCTTTACAACCTCATTGTTTTGTGTGTGTGTGTGTGTGTGTGTGAGGTGCTTCCTGTTGCTCATTATTAAGGATTTTGGGATTTGAAAAAACATGAGTCTTAAACTTTGGTATGTAACTCATATTTAAGAGAATCTAGTATTGGTGGTTATTGTCCCTTGTCATATCAGTATTACAATAATAAGACCAAAATGTGACTAAAAGGCTCCTCTTTAGTTGGTCTGTTGGTTGTTATTTTGGTGGTCTAAATAACTGATTCTCATCCACCGGTACCCCCAATGGGAACTTAAGCATGTTCCAGCGGAGCTTGTAAAGATTTCAGTTTTACTCAATTAAATCTATAATAGAAAAAATTATTTTGAATTAAAACGGTAATATGATAATACCCCAAAAATGTGTTGTGTGTGTGTGTGTGTGTGTGTGTGTGAGGTGCTTCCTGTTGCTCATTATTAAGGATTTTGGGATTTGAAAAAACATGAGTCTTAAACTTTGGTATGTAACTCATATTTAAGAGAATCTAGTATTGGTGGTTATTGTCCCTTGTCATATCAGTATTACAATAATAAGACCAAAATGTGACTAAAAGGCTCCTCTTTAGTTGGTCTGTTGGTTGTTATTTTGGTGGTCTAAATAACTGATTCTCATCCACCGGTACCCCCAATGGGAACTTAAGCATGTTCCAGCGGAGCTTGTAAAGATTTCAGTTTTACTCAATTAAATCTATAATAGAAAAAATTATTTTGAATTAAAACGGTAATATGATAATACCCCAAAAATGAAAATTCCTGCATTATCATTGTTCCAAATCTGCATGACTTTCTATCTTCGGAAAAAAAACTAAAGAATATATTTTAAAGAACATTGGGAACCAAAAGAAAAAGAAAAGAAAAAATATCTTCATGTTCCACATTAACAGTCATAATGTCTTGGTACGTAAATAAGAATTTTAATTTTTGGGTGAATTATCCCTAAATTTGTTAGAGCTGTTAATACAACAAAATAATTAACTGTGATTAATGTCATGTTTTTATTTTTCAGTTCATTTTAAAAACAGAAAACAAAATAATGTGAATTTTGTTCAAAATGTTTTAATCACATCAAAATGCCTAGAAAATTCCAACACTGGACTCTTCAATAAATAATGTAATGACTTTCCCGACACTTTTATGGACCTAATCTTACATATTTAATAGACCTTTTTTTTGCAGCTGACATACTGCATAAGTCTTTAGATGGTCTTCTCATAAACAACTGTAAAAATGTTGTGATATCATGGGTGATATACTCAGTGATGTAAGTATAGATAAAACATAAAATATAAAAAAATAAGTGAGTATATATATATATATATAGAGAAGGGCACAAGTTTCTGGTTTGGTATCAGTGTTTTAGGCCTTATTGATGGAGCTGTGGAGGTACATGAGACAAAAAAAAAAGGTGAATGAGTTATGAAATTTTTTTTTACATTAAATTCTGGATGAAATGGAACGTGTGACTGTCTTTGCTCTGGTATTGTGTCTTATGTCCTGTGAACTGGCTTCTCAAAAGAGAGAGAAAAAAAATGTTGGATGGGACTTGAATTTGTCAATTGGGAATTGATTGGATCATTGTTGTTTGCTAATTGCTGTGATTGTTTCATGTGAGTGACGGGTTACTGGAGGGGGTCATTTTTGATTCCATGTGTCAGCCCCAACAGAAACAAAATTAACAAAATGAAGCTGTCATGGCTTTGGCTAACTGCTTGATGAGCATATTTTGCTTTGCACTACAGTCTTCAGCTTTTATTACATAAATGTCCAAACAGGGTAGTCACTTCTGATGCAAACAGTTGATGAAATCATTTTCTGTACCAACTGTTATCTGTGAGCCTAATGGAATGATTCCTGTATGTGGGTAAGTAAATGTCAGCTCACCACAGCTGTTAGTTAATGCCAATGAATGTAAATCGACCCTCTCTATGAGTCTGTGTGAGAACTCATTATAATGCAGTTCCTTAGAGTGAAAAAACACCTAGTTCTATCAAACACAACACATCTCTATTCAGATTTAAAGGCAGATGACAGTTTTGTCAGTTTTATCAGTTTTTCAGGATTTTCCGCCCATATTATCGTCCACAAGGTGAAACTCTTTAGTTTGATTGCACATGAAAGTAATAACACCTCTCTTTATCAAACTGTATGATATGAAGCAAGGATAAGCAAGTTGATATTCAAAACTTATTTTATATGTGCATTCCTGAAACTCCTGTGACTAAACTGACAGTGAGATCCTATTAAACCTTCGATTTCATAGATAACGAATTTTATGTAATCATCTTTCCAATTTAAAATTAGCTTTTTAAAGCACCACACACACATTTCAACCAGATCCCATCAGTGACATTAACTGCTCCAAAAATATGTTCAAAAGGATTGAGATAGCTAACAGAAATATGCGCGACATGATCTCGTTCCAGCCAAAATATACATTTAGAAAGTTCATTTTCAGGCGCAGTAGGGGGTGACGGTTGGCAGTGAGCCATATGAAGACATGAAGCCATGCGACAGCGCCTCCAGAACTGTCATATTTCTGCATATTTCAAATATCCAGTCATATTTCTCTGCGACTTTGAGCCAAACGCAGCACTGTCTGATCCTATCTGAAAAGGGGAAACACAGCTGCAGCTGGCTGCTAATCACAGATCAACAAAGACCTGTACAAATATGTTTTCACAGTGAATATGCCTATGCATTTCCCTCTGAACGTATATATATATATATACTGTATATATATGTACATATATATGTTTGTGGATTAGCGGTTTGAAGCCGTGAATTCGTTTTCTCTTGATAGATACTGCGTGAGGATATTGCTTTAAAACTGAAAGAAAACACAGCAACAGGTAAGACTTTAAAACTGCAAGACATTTTTCAGAGGACTATGTTTTTATTCACCTCACAGGGCACAATTTAGGACATCCCCCGAGCTCTGCGTCAGTAACGTTACTCAGATATCAGTTAAAATGGCATCACGCCACAGACTAAACGGCTTCAATTCTCAGCAAAACCGCGTCAGGACTAAGCTCTTCACAATCAGCCAGGCATCAGGTGAAACAGTCTCAGACCAATACTGAATCATAGACTGTGCTTTGGTTGCTACGATGTGTCAACTGCGCCGTCGCCGTTCATTTCTGCCATACATTAATGCTCAGAATAGCATGTCCTTGTTTGGTGTGGCATCATAAGGGTGTCCCTTGTTTTGTCTGTTTAATTTTTTTGTGCCCTATTTTTCAGTTGTTGTATGATATGTATTTTCACACATATTGCATGTGTGTTATTTTATTTATTATTTGTGTTGATTTATTTCTAAACTGCTCTTAGCTGTAAAAATAAAAATATATATTTATTGAGGTAGATGGTTGTGAGTGAAGTTGTGGTTTATGCAGTGGTTCCGGCTGAGGACCCCCTGCTCTGCACAGTTTGTATGTCAGTCTTATCTAACACAGTTCAGTTTATGGAGATCTGTCCTAAAGAGCTGATGATTTGTATCAGGTGTGTTAAATAAGGGAGACATACAAATTGTGCAGAGCAGTGGGCCCCTGAGACAGGAATTGAGAATTACTGGTTCATAGAGAAGTGATGCATTGTAATGCATGTTGATTGGATCATTTGATTTGCCCAATCCAACTTGTACTGTATATTATCATCAAGCCGTCAGTTTTGCTTATAAACTTCTACATTAATAACACATTTTTATTCACTGCCGGGAAGAAGAGCCCAGCCCAGGAAGACGATGCCAGCTCATGTTCATTTCAGGAAAGAAAATAGGATTAATGCTGAACGTCACATGCAGAAACCAGAAAACAGGTTCATTGCATCCAGTTTAGGCCTTCTATATGCACTCGCTACATATAGAGCTGTTTTACTTAAAATCCCTTAAACAAAAGATACCAAAGATAAGTTTCATTGATGTCTGTAATATATGAAGATTGATATATAAATGTTCTTTATTTTTCTTCTCACTGATATTGAAAAATTATATCGAAAACACTTAGCTAAGTTAGTTTTTTACCTGAAAATAAAATCAATAGATATCGTTGTTATTTTATAATGCTGTTAATTTATAACACTTTCTCTGACAAGCGGCAGAAATGAGAACTGTTTTCTGGTTTGTAATGTGATGTTTGACATATACCCTATACTGGAACAGTCGGTCACAAAAGATTTTATAGTTAAAAACTATACATTTTTTAGGTTTATGCAAAATAAAAAATGTTTACAGACTGAAAAATACAAAATTTAAATCTATTTTATGCCATTTTTTATGTATTTTCACATTTTAAAGTCAATAAATGTTATTTTTGTGGCAAAAACCGTGTCTTCCTTTTACAGTACACACAATTAAAGCAGTAATGCTCATTACAGTATAATATTTGCTGTGTTAAAAAAATACAGCATTTCATTACTCTGATTGCAATTACGGTACTGTGATTTTTACTGTAATAAAAAAATTACAGTATTTAATAGTTACTGTGATTAAACTTACAGTCAGCATACTGTAGAATATATTACAGCAACTTGCCAATTACTGCCAGCGAGTTTCTGTAAATTTCACAGTAATCTTTTTACAGTGTATATATATATATACACACTACCATTCAAAAGTTTGGGATCAGTAAGAATTGTAATGTTTTTTAAAGAAGTCTCTTATGCTCATCAAGACTGCATTTATTTGATCAAAAACACAGAAAAAACACAGTAATCTTGCAAAATGTTAATGTAATATAAAATAATGGTTTCTATTTTAATATACTTTAAAATATAATTTATTTCTGTGATGCAAAGCTGAATTTCCATCAGTTATTACTCCAGCATAAAGTGTTACATGATCCTTCAGAAATCATTCTAATATGCTGATTTATTATTAGAACTATCAATGTTGGCAACATCTGTGCTGCCAAATATTTTTTTGGAAACTGCAATACTTTTTTCAGGATTCTTTGAGGTATAAAAAGAACAGCTTACCTTTTTACATAAACCATGTGAAACTCTTGACTCATGAGAGACCCATTATTAGTCTACTACTGTTCACTTAGAACTACTGCTATTGTATCACTGTTATATTTACAATACATTTTATTTGTTATACTTTATACTTTTCAGCAAAAGACATCAGAAACATACAGTTCTCAGCATGTCGGATATTTCCGAATAATACTGCTCTCAGTGTACTGTGTACTGACTAACTGGAACACTAAATGAGTTCGGAAAAAACAACAACGTATGATAAAATATATATCCAATATAATATATTGGCTCATTCGACTTGGAGTGACTGCCGGCCACATCCAAAAGTGAGTTTTGAGTAACTTGTAGATCTGTTTCAGATGGCTCAGTCCGATTTGGTGAGACATCACTAATGAACATTAAATCAGTGAATAAAATCTATAGTTTAAATTTAAGTTAAATTCATAAAACCTAAAATGTTGCTACCATAGCTTTTACTGTAAAGGTCTGGCAACCACAGCTGAGGTTTTTTTTTTTTTTATGGGCATGTGCATCAAACTCACTTTAAACGCCTCCTTTGCCACATTGTCATCAGCATCTCCGCGTGCCCATGGTTTGGCAGGGTGGCTCTGCAGACTGTATCCAAACAGATCAATGAAGAAGAAGGCATACTCCTCCTGAGGAAGACCCAACCTCAAGAACTCCACCATCAGCTTGCGAAACGTCTCCCACTTGCAGCAGACATACACCACTGCAAACACAAGATAGGGAAACTCAATTATCTGCCTTAAGGATACTCGCTGAGGAAAAAAAAAACAGACTTAATGAGAATTCAGACCCGCTTATTACTACAATGGAATGTGCTTGTGTGGCAAATGAGCTTTGGTTTGTACTGCAAATGCAAAAGCAACTGAAAGTCTGACACTTTAATTTGCAATTAGGCTGGAGGTTATTAACAGCTGACGAGGTGAAACTCACTCTAAAGATCCGAAATGGAAGTCTAGCACATGAGGATACTGTGTTTACCAAGTTGTACAACGTGGGATTTTCTGCTCTTAATTTGCGAATTAATTCAGAAGGAAATTGATTAGTTATTTTTTTTATTATTTTAATTGGTTAAGAATGCTAAAATGTTAGCATTCTTGAGTTTGTATGCAATTTGTTGATGAGGAAAAGAAATTTTTTTTTCTGAAAAAACAGATAAAATGTACTCATTTAGGCAATGGCTGCATAAGGATTACATAACCTCAGAGTTGATAGTTAGATGTGTATATTAATGATATCCAATCATGCATGTACAGGAATGCTGTGGGATCTTCTGAACTCCCTTATTAGCTTTGACTCCACTATATTGCATAAAGAGGAAATATTTGGCCACATGTCAAAAATGATTCAATTAAATTGTTAAACTTCTTCTCAGAATAATTGCAATCTATAATAATAAGTTTAATAGTTTAACAATAGTAATAATAGTTTAGAATGTTTTCAAACATTTTCATTTATCAATTAAATTCACATTCACATTTAACAAATTAATTTGTTATTATATATTATTTTATAGTGTTATCAAGATGCAGTGTCTAAAAGGACACAAAATGCAATGTTTATGCATTATTTACTCATGGTTGGGAGCAAGTGCACATTTTGCACCACGTATCATTTTAAAAATATATTTTCATAATATTCATATTTACAATTTACTCAAGGATTTGTTTTGTTCTTGTTTTACTGAGTGAGGTCCTTAATGAAGCTTTTGTTCTTTGTCAGCAAGTGAAAAACAAAAAAGACAAAGCCCAACACTTCCATTTTTTTAACCAAAATCAAAACACCATGTTATAATTACAACTTCTAGGAGGACTTGCAGGCAGTACGTTTAAAGGATGGAATGAACAACATTCATATCAGCCGATCATTTCCCTGTGATTCAGCAACAGGCTATGGGCTATTATTGTGCCAAAATAGTTTCGGGACCAACAAAAGATGTTGTTTCAAGAACATGTACTTGGGTAAATCATATTGTGCAATGAACGTCTGTAATGCTAATTTTACCAAGAACTACATGTTCCAAGGTTTATTGCGTCAAAGTGTGATTTATTTATTTTTTGACAGTTAATAATATGTGGGTTTTTTCTGAAGGTAAGAGGTTTCTATAAGTACATGAGTATTGTTTGAAAACAAAAAGAGGGCGACAAGACACAATTTTCTTTAAAAGCTAACTTGTGGTTCTGCAGCATTGGTGTCACTAAAGCGAAGTGCAATAATTGTTTTCAAGTTTCTCGAACACTTCCATCTGCCATTGGTCACACAAACAGATTCTTCTAGAATTTTGTTTGCGATACTCGGACAAACAAAGCATTGTTTTAATAGTGCCACAAAGCCTTAAGGCCTGTACAGTACTGTGCATTGGTGTGGACACTAATATAATTATGGTTTTAGTCAAGGTGCGATTTGTGAAAAAACCAGAGTAGGGGATGTTTTGAAAAATGTATGAATGAAAGAATGTTTTTTTTCTCTCTCCCCCCCTTGAAAATATATCACAAATCACACTGGAGCTGTAGATTATAGATTATTTTTGGCAGCTCTTACAGAAACATTTTTGCAATAAATATTCTGAATTGACCTTGAGATTGGATATCTTCGATATTTGACCACTATTTATGATAATTCTTGGATACTATGACACTAATAGTTCTTATTTCTGCCAGGAATGCTAAATCAATCGGGAGTTAATGATATTTTGAATAGAATAACGTGACACAAACCTGTACATATTCAATCGTGTTTGCATCCATTTATTTTTGATCAGTGCTTCGCTACACGACATACAAACTTTAACTCCAAAAGTGCGCACATTATTTATTTACACGTTTACCTCATATTTCTTTAAATAGAATAGAATCACGGTTTCCTAATGACTCGCAGAAAGACGATTCTCTGTCGACCCATCACTCAAACCGTTTTTATAGTTATCTTTATAACGGGTCTTTACAGTTGTCTCTGTATCTTATTCTGAGATAAAAGCATTTTGGCATTGAAGTTAACATTGAATTTTTGCTGCTTTTATTCACATTTCCACACAATATTTGAGGTTAATGCAGTGCAGGAGGCATTGGATGGCAGGTAATATTTGACTCTGTATGTAATTGCCATTGAAGTGCAGCATATGTCAGTCATCTGAAGCAGTGCAGACTGGGAGTCATGTGCTTCACGCTTCTAAATGCCAAAGAGGAATCAGATCGCCATGGCAATTACCCACAGACCTGCTCCTAATGATGGGCTTGATGATGAAGTGAGGTGAGGTGTTACAACAGTACCTTTAAAAAAATCATATGAGAGAAAAGGCTCACATGTTTGGAATGGAATATTACTGCACTGGGTAATGTGCATCTGTGAATCATGTTTCTAGATAGATAGATAGATAGATAGATAGGCAGACATGATAGAGTGATAGAATTAAAGACAGACATAATCACAGAATGACATAGAATAACAGACAGAACAATAGATAAGACAGACAGACAGACTGAACAATAGGTAGACAGAACGACAGACAGCATACAGACAGACAGAACGACAGACAGACAAAATGACAGACAGACAGACAGAACAATAGGTAGACAGGCAAACAGCATACAGACAAACAGAACGACAGATGAACAGACAGAACAATAGACAGACATACAGACAGACAGACAGAACAATAGACAGACAGACAGCAGACAAACAGAATGACAGACAGAAAGAACAATAGCTACATAGACAGACAGACAGAACAATATGTAGCCAGACAGACAGCAGACAGACAGAATAACAGACAGTCAGAACAATAGCTAGACAGACAGACAGACCAACAGACAGAACAATAGATAGACAGACAGACAGACAGACAGACAAATGACAGACAGACCGACAGAACAATAGACAGACAGACAGACAGACAAATGACAAACAGAACAATAGACAGACAGAACAACAGATAGACAGACAGAAAAAACACAGAACAATAAGATAAGTCTATCTGTCTGTTTGTTGTTCTATCTAGGTTTCTTTCTATCACCTGTTGAAGCCTTTGAAAGCCTCTGTTATTGTGCAGTAATTTCATAAATAATTGATCATGGAGGAACTCCCGGTGACAGAAGATAAAGTGCCGTATCTGTTGCTATGGATCTTGGAAAAAGACTTTGATACTTGAGTGAACCAAACTGATTTATGTCCAGACTCACAGATTCCATAAAACCTAATCACATACCACAACAATAACAAAAAGCACTCGAGTCTCTCAGGTGTGTAGCATCGGCACTGCATTGAGAGATTCACAGCAGGTGAGGCTTAAAAAACAGCGACAGATGTGAGAGGGCTCATTATTTCGGATGAAAATATTACCAAACAGGACCACACACAAGCTCTTCTTCATTTATGATGCCCTGAGAAAAACTCATACGTCATTATCCTCTATAACTGGCCCAATAACAGTCTGGTCTTCTCCACGCACATGGATTTGAATGAAGAATGGAACAGAAGAACCTACACGAGAGCTCTACAGAAGCACTCATGCACTATGATTATAGATGAAGTGTGGACTCTTTACTAACAATCTATGAGGTGGTTTGCATTAATGAGTTTAACAGTGGCCATCTCATGCTAATTCCAGGAAACAGTGACTCTTTTCCAAGTTTTAAAACACTCATCTCTTAGAAAAGAATTTGGTTATGCCACTTCTGTCTCCTTCACCTTTATGTTTAACTTTCTTTTGTTCCTTTTATAGTGAACAGACTTGTTTCTTTCCTAACAACTTGCAGAACATGCAGTAGAGCAGATAATTTTTCTGTTTTTGGTGAGGGTCATGGAATTAAATATTAAAGGAATAGTTTACCCAAAAATGATGTAGGTGAGTTTGTTTCTTCATTGGAACATATTTGGAGAAATTCAGCATTACATCACTTGCTCACCAGTGGACCCTCTGTAGTGAATGGGTGCCGTCAGAATTAGAGTCAAAACAGCTGATAAAAACATCACAATAATCCACAAGTAATCCACACGACTCCAGTCCATCCAGATTAGAAATTATTTTCTGAAAAGCTGCACTTTTGTAAGAAACAAATCCATCATTAAGATGCTTTTAAACTTCAAATGAGTCCCTTATAATTTTGCTTTCTCGAGTGAAAAAGACGTCTCGTCTGAATCAGGAGAGAAATATGCACAGATCAAGCATTTTGATGTGAGAGGACAATAGGGGATGGACTTTTTTTTTTTTTTACTGGAGGAAGC